AACTCTTTTAATCAATATATTATATTTTTTTACCATCTTGTTTACATTAGTTAATATTATATTATTAGAGATTTGTTTCAATTATATTTTACAATATTATAATAAATTAACTTTACAAGATGCCATTTTTTATTATTTTTTATTCTTATCAGCTAATTTTGTCAAACATAAATTGTTCATCAGCTATCAGTTAACTTATAAGTTAACAGTTAGCTTGTTAACCATCAGTTGACTTATCAACTACCGGCTAACTTATTAACTAGTTTGAACGTGAGTAAAAGAAAATGATAATCTTTGAAAGTTAAAGGACTGAAAAGGTAAATAATAGAAATAGAAAGAGTACAAAAAGTAAGGGTGTTGGCAGCGTCGTCGTTCATTAAAAAAAATGAATGGCTGAGATTGCACGCGTGATGCAAGAAGGCATAAGTGGTACACACTGATTATTAGGTCTGTGCTTAAATAAATAAGGTTTCTAAAGTCAATATCCACGTGGACCCACTTATGTTTCTTGTAGGATTCGATCATATACTTATATATAAGTGTAAGAATAAAACAAAAAGACAATTTTGTCCCTATAGTTTCATCTTTGTTACAAAAAGGGTCTCCAACTCTAACATTTAATGACTTGGGTCCTTGTGATTTCATTTTGGTTACAAATCTAGTCCCTACCTTAACTCCATTTAAATTTTTTGTTAAGTTGGGGCTAATTTAGGGGTTGTTCGGTAGGAGCTTAATGGGCTATATAAAGAATATGACTTATTCGCACAGCCATATCCAGCTGTTCGGTATGGGCTTATTCGACCGGCCCTGGGCTGAATCGCTCAGCTAGAAAAATGATGTCCTTTGTACTCAGCCCTTCATTAAGCCATTTATTCCCCTTTTACCCTTTCCCTCTTTTCCCCCAAAATTAAACCATACCTATCTAGATGGTGAAATCAAATCAGAAATCGCTCTCTCTCCCACAACATCTTCAACCTCCCTCTCTCTCCCTCATTTCCCTTGTGTAGAACTGCTTCATCTTCAACCTCGCTCTCTCTCTCTCTCTCTCTCTCTCCTGTGTATCACTTTCTTTCCCATGATGGTGATGGTGAAATCAAAACTGTGTCAGTTCCTCCACTGTGCATCGCTCTCTCCCCCCCCTCTCTCTCTCTCTCTCACGACGGTGATGGTGAAATCAAAACCGTGTCAGGTCCTCCACTATGCATCGCTCTCTCTCCCACAACGGTGATGGTGAAATCAAAATCGTGCCGGTTCCTCCACTATGCATCGCTCTCTCTCCCCTGTGCATCCTCACCGGTTTTTTCACCGTGTCGTTTCCGTCTCAACCACCTTCGAAGCAACCAGCCCTCTCACCATCATAACCACCTCCCAGTCATGCAGCATCCCCTTTGCCACCAACAACATTAGGTTTCAAGAATTTTGTCGGTGTAGAGTCCAGAACTCTCAAGAATTTTGTCGGTGTAGAGACGAGAACTCTAAACAGCACCAGTTGCCTTCTATTAGGTTTCAAAAATTTTGTTTTTTTTTTCAAGTCTAACATCAATAATTTTATAACTTTTATAATTAAAATTCATTTACTCAATATTTTTATCAAACACTACAAAAATATAGACTGGGGTAAAATGGTCATTTCAGACATTCAGACGGTTTATTTAGCACGACAACCGAACAACAACTAATCTGTTATCATACAAACAATTTTATCAATACAGACATCTTTATCCATACAGGTCTTAATAGAAAACGAACCGAACAGCCCCTTGGTCTTTTTCATTTCTTTGATATATCTTTTATTGTACAACTTTAGATGCATTTTGTACATATGTATAAAACAGTTATAAATAAATATAAAATAAAAAAACTCACACCATCAATACGCCATCTTTGATCACTCCCTGATTGCGGTCCAGTCATCTTCTCCGGCTACCACACTAGAAAACACACACGCACCAAACACACCAAACTAAGCCAGATCTAAACCATAATCACTAAAACTCGAAATTAAACACAAACTGAAACTCACGCTGACATTAAAAAATCCAAAACCCAAAATCGATTTGCTTGTTGTTGGTGGTTGATGTAGGTGGTTCTTACAAAGCTTACCGTTACCACCAAAAGTCAACGCCCATCAAATATGGACTTTTAGATATGGAGAAGGGGTATAATGAGATACCCATCAAAGTCTATCAAATTTGTGATAGTTGCTTCGGTCGAGATCATAAACCAAAACCCATCAAACTCATTGATTGTAGGTACATTGATGGTAAGACAATCCCATATTTGGCCATTCCCAACCTGTCAAACTCAAAATCGAACACAAGGTTTAGTGAGTCAACAACGATGGTCAATCATCCAAGAAACCAAAATGAAACCACCTAGGTCTTCATTAGCTTTTGGTTAAGAAACATTTCATGAGGGATGGTTGTTCCGTTTGTACATGGACACACCCCCACGCACAACTTCGTGGGCGTGAAGTGGGAGGGGGGGGGAGCGGACGATAAGAGAGATGATGGTGGTGTTGAGGTAGTTCACCAAGAATGGAAGAGGGAAGGCTAAGGAGGGACGTTTGATAGAAAACAGGGGAGGGAGCCGTTTTACCAGAAAAAAAACAGGGCAAGAACGTAACCAGGATGAAACTATAGGGACCTCAGTCATAACAAGTATGAAACCATAGGGACGTAAATTGTAATTAACTCTAAGACAAAAACAATAAATCAAAATTTAAGAAAGTATTCATTTTAAAATCATATATTATGATCATAATATTAATATTTATATTAATTAATTAATCTGAATAATATTTATATTAATTAATT